ATCCTGGTCATTGTAACAGTAACTGTTCCATGTTTTCTTCTTGACTTTTGCATCATCTTTTTTGTGGAAATTAATTTAGTTAATCTTCATTCACATTAAACATCCATCTAATTTGATGTCACTGAACCTCGTACATAGATCTGTTAATTTTTTTTATGTAGTATTTTTTTATGCTAGAATCATTTCTATGTTTGATTCTCAAGTTTCTTTGATTTGTCATTTTTCTTTTTTTATTAACTACTTAATAATGGCTACAGGATTACCTGTCAAGAGTTTTTTGGCTGCTTGGTCAATTTTATTACCTTTAGTATCTGCATATAAAAAAAAAGAAGAAACAAAAAAAATAGCGTGCTTTATTTTTTATTTGCTGATAAGAAGACTAATTTTTGTGTAATTAGTAATTGTTAGATTCATAGCTTTTTATTGAGTTTACAGTTGGTTTTGAGTCTGTGAAAACATAAAGTCCATAGAGTTTTCTTTTTGTGATGTCATACCATAAGGGAGCGGGACTTTGGTCTGTTTACATTTGTAGACTTATCTTTTAAGTCTCTCATATTTAATGGTTAATGGTTACAAAGCAGCAAAGGTCATATAGTACTATAGAAAGGTGTAACAGTGAAAAGGGTAAAGAAGGGGCAAGGGGTTAGCTGATTCAAAGTGCTACACATCAAAAGTTGCACACCAGTTCAGGATAGTATGGCATCGAAGGGGGCAAAGAGGCATGAGGGTAGAGAGGGTGAACAAATGGACTTAGGCAGAGATTAAGAAGGGTGATCAGATCAGAGTTATCAGAGGAAGAAATGTGGGATTCTGTAAGGATGTCAAAAGGGTATGGTAGGGATTAGCAAAAAGGAGGGTATAGGGGCAATTATGTCACAGGTTCAGGAGAAATGTCATGAGGGAGTCAATCCAGGCAATGGGTTGTTGTCACAAAAGGAAGTCATAAGTGTATCCATGAAGGAGTGGAAGGGATAACAGGGAAGAAAGTAGGTGTGATACAGGTAAGGCAAGGGTGATGGGGTGTGTTGGGAGGGAATAGGAGGAAGGGGTGTGGGGGGAAAAATGTATAGGGGAGGAGGATGGATGGATGTCAGCATTCACTTTAATGGAGAATGGATGAGGTGCAGGTACATCATCTTGGGTCATGATTACCTTTGAATGTCCTTGAGAGTTTCTGAATTGGAGTTGCTTGGGGAGGTCTGAGAAATGAAGATGTTCTTGGGTGGGGAAGAAGAGGGAACAGACTTAGGAAAAGAAGAAGGGAACAGACATTTGAAAGACAGAAGAACAGGTTGATGTAGGAGAGGATGCAGTAGGAGAAGATGGGGTGGAATATTTAGCTTGTCTTGTGTGATGTGTTGTGTGAAGAGGTGGGATAACAACTGGGTAAGTACAGATTGGAATGTTTGGATTTAGAGTAGCGATAGAGATTGGGGGTGTCTGGATAGAATGGTAAAAGTTTGACTGGGAGAGGAAAGGGGTAGAAGTGTGATGAGGAAGAGATACTGGAGGGTATGTAGAAACATCTTTGGAGGGGGAAGGGGGGAGCGAAGGACAGTATTGGAGTAGGGAATAAGGGAAAACCTGGTCTGGCCTTGCCTAAAGTGAGGCCAAGTTTGAATCTGAGAATAGCTACCTCAGACTCAAACTTGTAGGTAGGGAAGCCCCTGTAAAGTTCATTATGGGAGCTGCCATAATTAGCACATATGCATTTTTGTGCAGAGCAATTTAATAGGTCATGACCAGATTGGGCACACAAAGGGCAATGAGCTGTGGAGCTATGGGTTTTCCATATTTTGAGTAAGAATATGCAGGTTTCTCAGATGGTGTACAAACCTCTGATCTTCTAATTCACTGTTTATATGTAGCTATTGCTATGATGGTTTTCAGTTTATTTGATTAACTGGGTGTATGCTCTGCCCGGTAGTCAGTGCCGAGCACAAGCACTATGATTTCCTACAATCATTCAATATCGCCAAAGACCCTTAATCTAATGAATTTTGAATCTGTTACTTTTGAATAATAAATGCACTAATCTGAACTGATGATTTTATATATTTGAATATATATAATAACTTTCTTGTAATCTAAACTTCAAACTTAAAAAAACAATGATTACCACACAATATATTTTAAAAAGGTAAAAATGTAATCCTTACAGGAAGGTGCCGTTTTTTATTGCTGGGAAAAATCTCAATCTCAATGATATTTCATATCATTCTCTGATCTTTATCATGTCCTGCTCTTCAACAGAACACTGAAGTGATGAAATACAAACATTCCTATTTAAAGTAAAATCTTATATAAATAAATGTGTTAGAGAGCTTGTGGAAACATAACATTAATATTTACCATTGTTGAAATATTTAGGAAGGCTAGGTGATTCCACAAACTGTAAAAAGCACTATATTTCATTAATTTACTTTTACTTTAATTTACTTGTCGAAATGCTGAGGAAGATGATTCCGTTGACTAGACAAGCACTTTTCTCTCCCTTTACCTGCTCTTCTGCGCCGCCTCCGGTCTTCCCTGCTCCCCTGCCCTTGCCTGGGGTCTCGTCAGTGGGAATAGCCCAGGGCCTTCTCTTGCATCTCATTAGCGAAGTTCAGTCTCTAAAAACCACGATTTCACTCGGGTGATCAACAATTCGCTCTTGATTCCTCTTCATGATAATAAACATTCCTCTTCTTTGCTTTTCCTTCAGTAATTCCCGGTCTGCCTCCGTTCCCCTAAAAGAGCGAATCCGTTCCAGCCACTCCTCTGAGGGCGAGGACCTGGCGACCTGCACCTCCCTCAGCCTTTGAGAGAAGCCCCCTGACCTCCTGGTCCGCAGACCTGCGTGGCTGCCCGGTTCCCTGGGCTCCTGCGGGAGGCGAGGCTCCGCCGCGGCCGCCGGGGAGGAGGACCCGGCCTCCTGCGGCCGTGCCTGGCGCTGTAGGTACGTGCGCCTTCCGTGTGTCGTTAAGAAGTGCAAGTCCATCAGTTCCGTGTGAGTTGTGGGTAATCAGGTTGTGTTGTCTCATCAATAATAATCGTGTTTTGCTCAAGAGTTATGCGTGTTTTCTGTGAATCGCTTTGCAGAGGATGAGGAGTAGTTGACGCAGTATCCCTTTCTCTCGGCATTCCTTTGTCTTAGCATTCCTTTCTTTTATTCTTGTATAATGTTCATTCCATTCTTTTATTATGTATTATGTTCATTCCTTTCCTTTATTCATGTATAATGTTCCTTCCAGGCCGAGGGAGTCCGCGGGCGGCATGGACGTCCCCCGCGAGGCCGTTTATTCCCTCATTGGCAAAATCCGGGCCGACGGGCAGCTGTGGGACCCGAGGCACAGGCACTACAAGAAGAGGGCGCTGAAGAGGATGAAGATGGTTGACATCAGCAGGGAGCTGCAGCAGGAGTTCCCAGGGCACGCGGATAAGCTAACACCGGGTATGTGTCTGCTCTTGCCCTTTGCCAGGGTATCTTCAAACATTTCTGGACATTGATATTTAGAGTTCCTTGGCACAGCCCATCCTGGTGATAGTGGCATTGATGGAATCCTCTTGGCCCACTACCCATACATGTAGGGCATTTGGCATGGACCCCCCCCCCCCCCAACCCCTCATTCTTGGGCGTGACATCAGGAGAGGGCATCATAGGGTAAACATTCAGATTTTTTTAGCTTTGAAGGATCACAGGGTATGGATGGATTCCTTTCTCTTTCCTTTACCCATGTTGAAGGAAATTATGCCATGGGTCCGAGAACCTGGGCATTTGGAAGGTTTCTGCGGGATAATTCCTAGATATAGTAGAGCACGAGAGGAATCCAGCGATGCCATTATCATTGTGATCTTTTATGCGAAGGGATTCTGAACAAATACCCATGAAAGGTATCAGGGAGATTACAGGGTAAAATGTGAGTAATATACACAAAACATGCCACTGTAATAATACAATAAACAGAATAAGTCACTAGACTATATTGTCTAATGCAAGAAGGCAAACCCCCTTCCATATATTCATGGCCAGAAAGAGCACAGGTAATTCTTTACAGTACAGAGGCACGTTCCAGAGACAAAGACCCCAACTCCACATCACAAAATTTATACAACAATCTAAGTAGCCGTGATTGGGTGGGCCTTTTGGGTACTGCCCAACATTGCCTTCACTTTGGTATGCACAGCAAGATAGAGCTGAAACTCAGGAGCACCAAAAAGTGGTCAGCACTTTCCATTATCTTTTTACTTTATTTGTGGCATTTTTGTTCATGTCTGCAGGTTATTTCTTATACCAACAACTAAGTTTTTGTCCTCAACAAGAATATCATTTACAATTTGCCCAACCTTTGTGCATCCATACCGTTAAGATTAACTAGGGTACAAATTGATGTGCAGGGTGAACTCATGAAGATTCAACTTAAGATTGATAATTTACTAACATAATTGATGGATTTTGATGATCTGGAATAGATTACATCAGTAAATGATGCTGACTGTATCACAGGCTAGTAATTAAGGTATATACATTCATATACACATGTGATTTGCTATTGCACCATCCTGCTGCAGGGTAATTCTTTACAGAACAGACGCATGCACCAGAGACTAAGTCCCATACTCCACATCACAAACTTTTTTCAATAATCTCTCCCTCTCCCCCTCTCTCTCTCTCTCTCTCTCTCTCTCTCTCTCTCTCTCTCTCTCTCTCTCTCTCTCTCTCTCTCTCTCTCTCTCTCTCTGTCTCTGTCTCTCTCTGTCTCTGTCTCTCTGTCTCTGTCTCTCTCTGTCTCTGTCTCTCTCTGTCTCTCTGTCTCTGTCTCTCTGTCTGTCTCTGTCCTCTGTCTTCTGTCTTCTGTCTTCTGTCTTCTGTCTTCTGTCTTCTGTCTCTGTCTGTCTGTCTGTCTGTCTCTCTGTCTCTCTGTCTCTCTCTCTCTCTCTCTCTCTCTCTCTCTCTCTCTCTCTCTCTCTCTCTCTCTCTCTCTCTCTCTCTCTCTCTCTCTGTCTCTCTCTCTCTGTCT